CATTATCAATTTCATTTTCTTTTCTTTCCAGTTCAACCCTCAGCGAATCTTAGTTCAAAACTTGGACCAAATCCCTCCACCGTGACGTGTCCCAACTGTGGAGCAAGTAAAACTACACGTATGTGCTATACACCAAATACAAAAACACATTTTAGTGCTTTACTCTTGTGTTTAGTGGGGTAAATATGGAATAAACTTTAATTAAATCCAGAACCACAAATAAACTAAATTTCACTTTCAATTATATAGATGGTGCTGTTGTGCTTGTATTGTGCCTTATTGCATGAATAGCTGTCGTACTGGAAATCATTACTGCTCTAAATGTAATGCCTTTCTGGGGGCCTATCATCCCGGATCACATCGCAGATATGGTAGACGACGACATTGAAATAAAGTTAATTTAGTCTAGAAAAAGTTTTCTTTAATGTAATTTACAAATTTTGTTAGCAATTGTAAATGGTTGGGGATGGTCCAAGTTAAGGTATATTTTTAAAAATCATATTTACTGGAGACAGATAATTTTGCACCAATCAAAATAGTGGTCATTAGTTCGTTCTGTAAGGCAAGGCAAATTGTTCGATTTGAAGAGTTTTTGCCGAGAAGCTCTAACCGATTTGTAAGATCAACTAGAAATCGGCGAGAATACTTTAAAAGGTTGGATTGACAAAAGACCTATAGCGAAGACTGCCAAAGAAGCTGTATATAAAGATATATAGCTTCAAATTTTTACTGATTTTATATAATACTGGATCCATTAGGACCATCCCTTTATAATAATTTTCAAACAGTCTAAATAATTCTATAAATTATAAACATTTTAAATGTTACTAGTTTTATAAGATTTTAGATATAATTATTTCGAATGAATCAAAATTATGTATATTTTCAAAAATGCGGAAAATAACTCAAAATTGTTAATATAAAATTATTATTATAAGTATTTTAAACATGTTTTTAATAAATTTATAAAATATCATAAACAAATAAAAAATCATATTAAGTTGCTGCCTTAAGTGGCACCATAAATGGAAGTGTCATGCGAGTGGGTGTCTGACTACAAACTGGCTCCTCATACAATTAACACATATTTCTATATTTATCTAAAAAACTTCTGCTCAAAAGTGTGTTTCTATAAAATCGTTTAAATATTAAAAAACGGATAATAATTGAGGCCAAAAATAGATTTTGCTTATAGAGTTTAAAAATAATTATTTTAAATTTTTAACAAAAGTTATTCATTTGTTTAAGACGACTTTTATACACTCTTCGTCAAAATGTAAACTAAATTTCGGATGGCGGTGTGAATCGATCCTTTCCGGATTTATATCACGATTTATTTCTTTATTAAATCGAAATCTATATTAACATCATGGTGATTTTCGGAATTGGGTCTTTTTAGGGGGGGGCTAAGGCCAATTATGGACCTACTACTCGGTGCTAGTGTTGTGATTAGGTAAACTGTAATATATTTCTGTTTCTAGGTTTTTAATATAGAACACTAGGCCCGCCTTGTCCACCAGTTTAGAGCCATCCGTATAGCAACGGCTTCCTACTTGTATTTGCTCTAATGTTCCGCTTGCCCATGACATTATATCTGGGATCAGTTTTTCAAAGATCCCGACATATTCTGTGTTTGATATGCAATCCGCCGCGTCCGATGTTTGTGTGTATTTAGACAACCAATAAGCGCATTTGATCAGTTCCAACAGTTGTTTAGTTGTTAGTAAAAGATTTGAATTTTCTTAAATCTGGCAACACTTTGGTTTTTGTCTTCACTATAACTATTGCTTATCGATTACAAATGTCTTCAGAGCCAATTGCGATCAATGTTGCCAAAGTGTAAACAGTTTATGATTTCTTTCTGAAATAACGAATTTTTAGTTCGAAAAAATTTAGTCAATTGACGATCTTCAAAGATCACTGCAGTTGGCAATTTATACTCATAAATCATCGGATCACGGAAATGGAACTCCGAAGTCATCCTTACCTCGGATTTTTATCGAACCATGGGATTTTGACTTTCTCTTGATTGCCACCAATTTTAACAGTACATATATCGGCTGAAGCCTGTCCATTCGGCAACAGCTTCTAGAGACATAATTGGAAGTCTGAAATATGCTACTTGTCATACATACATCAGGCCTTTAACCAACATTATCTTTCCTCTATTCTGGACCAAGTAGTTCTCAGACAAATTAATGCCGAATACTTTACGTGAACACCTGCCGTGTCGGGGATATTTCACCGTGGTACTTTTCACCCAAAGGGTGAGCTTTTCTGACAACTTTGTGAATCTCACACGCAGGTAACAATGTTTTTTTCTACAAAGTTTTGCAGGTCCTTGCAGGTCCATGTAGTTAGTTAGTTAGTTAGTTAGTTAGTTAGTTAGTTAGTTAGTTAGTTAGTTAGTTAGTTAGTTAGTTAGTTAGTTAGTTAGTTAGTTAGTTAGTTAGTTAGTTAGTTAGTTAGTTAGTAGTTAGGTAGTTAGTTAGTTAGTTTA